TCTTGATAAACCAATTTTTCCTTTCATATCATACCTTCAAAATGTTTAGCCTCTAAAGACTGATAAAGGCTCTGACGAAATACTTCGTGAAGAACTTTCTAAGGGAAACCAGCTGTCATACATGGTACTCATCAGAAAATCCACGAAAACGCCCATGAGGCCAGCCCGTTTACCGGGATCGAAACCCCAGAGCGAACTGCCAGTGTTCAGCGACTTTACCGCTCGGTCGTTTTGCTGGGCCTTTATGAAATGGAAGGCGATAAACTTTATTTAAAATGATTGTCAGAAATATCAAGGTATTTCGAAAGTTGGATACTTTTTAATATACTTGCAGAATGCCTAAAGAAAAAGAGCAAGAATAAAGTAGAATGCCCGAAGAAAAAGAGAAAAAAAAAAAAAAATAAAATAAAATAAAATAAAATTTTGCGTAAAAGTTAGTATTAGTACTTTTTTTAATTTAAAACCTTTTAATCTTATGATATTTGATTCTTGCGATTTCAAAAATAAAATATTTGACTAAAATATGAATAACATTTTAAGAAACCAAATGTAGGATAAAATTGTGTAAAGCAATGGGCACAATAATAAAACTGTTTTAAGTTGTTGTTGCAGTGTATGCAAGTCATCCTAAGTTAAAATGTCGGTTATACATCTCTCTGATTTATATATATCTTTTCTGAACGGAACATTGAAAGGCGTGTTAACTGTGCTTTACTGTATTTTCTCTTTTAATATATGCAGTTTTCAAGGGCATCGTAGTCTGGGTTACAAAGTATTCTTCCGAAAGAAACGCAGTTCAAATAAATAAAATCAAATTCTGCAAAATTTATATTAATAAATATATTTAAAATGCTCAGTTCGAAGGAATATATAGAAAATTTTAAAACAATTATCTGAAGAGACAATGCAACACAAACAATTAAAATAAAAGTATAAAAATTTAAAAATTACCTACAAAAATTACCTAAAATAATAACTATGACAAAAAAATATATAAAGAAAACTATTTGAAAAAAAATAAACGCTGCACCTTTATTTACGCAGTTCGAATAGGTAAATAGAAATTTTTAAAACAGTTTTTCGAAAAAAAAAAAAAAAAAAAAAAAAAAAATGCAACTTAAACAATTAAAATGAAATTCGAAAAAGAAAAAATTACTTAAAATAATAAGTTATAATTAAAAATATAATATAAAGAATATTATTTGGAAAAAAGGAACGATGGTGACTTTTTTTCCTCTCACGGGAAAGGAAACTAGGTTGCCATATATTAAGAAGTTCGCCAAGTGAAGTATTCTTGGCGCAAACTAACAAAAAGTGCCAACATAAATTTGTGAATTTCTCCGTAAATTTCGCTCCAAATTTTTACAAATTTCATATTTAGGCGTAATTTGAGTCATAGAATCGAAATATGTAAAAAAAATTGGTATGTTATTTTAGAAAAAAGTCCGATTTTTTGTCAAAATATCCTATGTTAGAACAGTACTATATATAAATTCTAATATATATCTTAAGTCTGCGCTTTCGAGACATGGAAGAACGCAATTTGAATTTTGTCACTCGGCCCAGTAGAACGGGAGATATAAAACTGTCCTTTTTTTTTTTTTTTTTTTTTTTCTTTGAGCTGTGTACCTGAAATTTTATCTCGTAAGGGAAAAGAACAATTGATAGAAATATCTTGGGATCGAACTCGAACTGGAGATTTAAAAAATAACACACTTGTTAATTTTTCGCCAAACAAAAAAAAAAAAAAAAAATTAAAAGCATTTTAAATAAAGCCATAAAATTTTTATTGCCTTTTTCGGACAACCTATTTGTGTGAACAAGGATTTTCGTCCATGTTATATTTGAAAATTAAATAGAGAACAAAATTAAAAGCGGATGCTAAGGTTAAAACTAAGTGAAATAAGACTAGACAGTAAAAGAAACTGATCTCTCTTAAACGGGCCCAAATTTCACACTAAATTTTAGAATTAAAGTATTATAACTCGAATTTTGATAATTAAAATGGTAACCAAATTTTAATCTAATATTTCTTGTGTGCATATACAAATAGCGAATAGGTTGTGCAAATGGCAGAATATATATCTTTTTTAATATTTCTATTGAGAAATTGAAAAATCACGGTAAAATTTAGTGGTGGTACTAAAGTTTTTCAGTTTTTGTTTAGATGGTATGCGTTAGTGAAAAGGTTGAAAATCGCTGCTTTAGATAAATGCGGACTTCGTGCAGTACCGCTTAACCGTAATGGTAAAGGGATGGTGCTCACGTCCTCCGTCACTCCTTTACTCACCTTCCAGAATTTGATTCGCATATGCTATCGAATTCATGCCGCTTTGTGTTCCGTTGTATTACCTCGTAGGATTTTATGTTAGTTGACCAGCTATTATGATTTGAACCTTTAATTTGACTTATTCTTCCCGTAATCTTGACCAGAAGGCAAATTAGTTGTGCATTTGAGCTGAGAATTTGAATGTTTCAGAGTTAGAAATTCTGGCAGCCTCGCACTGCGGTTACGTACTTTCGCGAGCTCTACCAAAATTATTCCGTATTTAGAAGCTTGATAGTCGACGTTTAAAATAGGCACCGTTATTTATCTTGAGCCTTAAGTAATCAATTTTGTTTGTAATCTCACACTACGTTACCTTCATTGAAGTTAACTTCATCTTATGTCAAGTTAAACGCAAGCAAGTAGCAGAGGTTGGTTTGTAGCACAATTAGTGCCTTAATTTCAAAACTTAAATAAAAAGTTTATTTTAAACTTATTATGACTTGCTCATTATTTCATACTAAAGCAAAAACTCGGTCTTGTGTATAGTTAGGCCTGCAGAACGTTAAGCATCCAGACACAACAGAACACTGCAATTTGTCTCGAGTCGTGACAAACTATCGTATTTTGTTTTATGTTGTCGTGTACGAGGGATGTATCCAAAACTCTAGTACGTGAGTTTTATTCACTTCCTATAACTTACAAGCAACGCTATCGGTCAGATTTCTTGATATGTACTTTGATATTAAACTGCATTGTAATATATTTGTGAAGATATCTCGTGCAATATTGTTTAATTCGATTCAGTTGTTAGACTGATACAGTCACATTTCTGTAGCACTGTTATTGGAATCATGGGAAGATACCAAGAGTAATCCTTTTCCTTTTGTGGAAAGAGGGTGTGAAACCTTCAGAACTCATTTAATGCCTGAAAAATGTATTCTGTTCCCACATTTGGAAAACACATTTACAGGTTGTTCAATTTTAAATTTAATTATCCATAAGAAGACAGAAAGGAGACATGAAAATGTTCTTTGAGGACGGCTTGAGTAGTTTCTCGTTGAGATAAATGTACTTAATTAAATGTGGATTTTTTTGGAAAACTGCATTGTAATATTAATGAAAACTGAAGAAATAATTATTATACTTAAATTGCTTGAAATTTGGAAATATCCTACGTAGTTTCGGTATTTGCTATTAAAGGTTTTTCTTGTTTCGGTAGGGTAAAAACTACCATACAAAGCGTATCTTAATATACTTTGAAACCCTATCATCTCTTGAGTACTAAATCATCTCCTCATCTGTTGAGTACTAAATCATTTCCATTACCATTTGTGCAGCAACATGAGGATTGTCTATCTAATAGTATAATGCATTTACTACTGCCAAGCACTAGTTGTTAGCGATGGTACATGACAGCACTTTACATAACATTACTCAAGCAATAATCATTGCCGTATCACCTGCGTGCCGCTTTCTAGGAGGTTTCACTAATGCCAGGGGGTTACAAACCGCTGAATACAGGTACTTCGATTCAGATTCGAACCTAGGCCGAATGGGCTGGTCGCATAGTTGGTTTGGGTGGCTTTCTCCATGTATAAAGTAAATAGCAGCCAGTTTGCCTTAAAGGATCCTCCGTGAAAGCATCCTTTCCCTTAATTAGATATCCCTCGTAGGTGCTTTGTCATTCTCATATGACGTAACCCACCCACTTGACATTCATAGGATCATTTCTATAGTATGATTAGCGAGTTCACTTACCGAACTTCGCAAAAAACCCAGCGCTACGTAATTGCTATATTTGCTGCTACTTATATTCTACGCGAATGCTTCGCATTCAAATCACGGACTATGCTAGCAAAATCAAAGTTATGCTTAAAAATTCCATTTCATTTGCTATACACGAGGTAGGGAACTCATCCTTGGAACCTGGATGAGTGATCTTGTCACCTAATGAGGTACAGGTAAAAGTGGGAGGAGCACCAGAAACTTCCAAATTGAATCGCACAGGTGAAGCTTCTCACCACTATCCGCCATTTGTTGAATTTAACAAAAGGTACAATTATAAATGCAATGCAGTATAAATATGAAGCCACTTGACAGGAAAACGTCTTATCATAAAATTATATTATAACTTAGGCAGCAGCTTTCCATAGTCTATGGCTGCAAATGTTGGGGGACGCGCCTGTTTACGGCTCCCAACACTTATACGGCCTGTTTTGGAGCCTTCTTCATACGCCTTATTTTGGATGTTGAGGACGACTGTAAAATGAGACAATGTTCTCTATGTTTTTATTCACATGTTTGATGAAATCTGAAAGTTTCGTGAAGGATATGATCGGGAAGCTCGGAAATTTTACTTATAAATAAATGTTTGCAACAAATTATAATTTAAAAATGTGACATAATAAGTTTACAGCTATTTTAAATTTTAAAAAAAATTTTAGATGTTTTATTACTATTCTTCTTCTTCTTTTTATTATTCTTATTATAGCTACGAGGGCAGGGTGAATATAAACTAAATATCTATTTTTTTATATAGTAACAACCCCTAGAATTCTTTCTGTATCATTTCCATTCTTCTCACCCATCAATATCCGAGTATAATCTTGTTTATGAATTTTTATTTTGCCAGAACAGGCAAGTATAGTAAATAAAATTAACAGGTTTACATGTTAGGTGAAAAAATTACACCCGCTCCGATGTGCAACAACTTTTATAACTGGTAACTCACCTGTTTTTCTAAATCTTCTAGTCTTTCCTGAGCTTGTTCAAGTCTGAATTCCATCTGGGCAAGTTCCTCATTTTTCAGATTGACTTCATGCATAATTTGATTAATTTCTTGTTGGTTTTGGCCTATGGCTTCTCTCATCAGAGATAACCAACTTTTAACTACAGTTTTGCATTCTTCTATATTTGGACTTCTGGCCTGTAAATTAGTATCATGAATTTATATTTATTTAAAATAGGAATTGATGAATGTTAAAAAACATTCACTATTTCGGCATGTTTATTTATTAAAACTAATTAACACTAGGTTATAGAAAGGAAGCCTTAATATATTTGCACAATAAAATTCGAGGCTATTCTAATATTTTTAATGGGTTTTTTACTATTATGCAGCAAATTCGCTTCAGTTCTTTAATGACAACGATTTCTAGATCTGAGTCCTGTAATCTTTGATGCTGAAAGTTATTTAAATACATAAGAACTGTTGACAGATAACAGAGTTGTGAAAATTAATTTGATTACATAAAATGTCATGGTTCTGATGGAGAATAATATGGCCTATGTTCCATTAAATATATTAGTAAAAATTAAGTCTATTTTTCTTTTATAGTATTTCTTTTTTCTTTCTTTTTTTTTTTCAATTGGAGAAACATTATGTAAAACTCTTATATAAAAATTTAAGAAAAGTAATATTTTAAATACGTTATATTTTTATTCTTTAAAGAAAATATGCGAAATATTTTAAAACATGCAATAAAAATGTTGAATGTCAGAAGAATTTTCTTGCTATATTTCAAGTAAAATATAGAATGCATTTCTGTTATAAATTGATGCTACTGACTATTAGGAGGTGCCCTGCCATTCTGATTCTTTTTCTACCGTGAAGAAGAAAATGAAAGAAAAGTCGTAAGTCTGATAATTCGGAGTGTTTAAATATTTTTCTTTAAATTAATAAAGTGTACATATTTTTGTGTTTGCGAGAGTGTTTAAAGCTTCAATATCTACTCCCGATCATTTACATCCGAATTTAACGATTCGCTTTCATTCTAAAGATCCTTGAAATTCTAGAAATTATTGATTTATATTACTTCTTTAAGTTACATCTGAAATACTAAAGCAGAAGCGCGGTCACTTGTGGGATCGCTCAGGAAACCATGAGAGTGCAAAATTGCTTTCGTATAACAATTCTCAAAGAAGGCCTGATGTGTTATAATTTGAGAATAATTCGCTTCGGGAATTCTAAAAAAAAAAAATAATAATCGATTTATTAAATATTTCGAATTAAAGAAATTCGATTTATTGTCGATTCGATTAAAAGTTAAAATTAATTTTTTGAAAATTTTATTTGTGGGAAATATTTGTATCGAGTTATCAAAAATTTGGATTTGTCAGTGTTCAAGCAACTGAAGTTCTACTGCTTTTAATGATCAGCTATTTCAGTGATTCTCCAGCTCTGTCGTAAATAGACGCTTCCTGTACACATTTCAGATAGTTATAAAATCTTATATAGATTTATTATATCATATTTATAAAGCAATGGTGTAATTTACAGTACATCAATAAAATCATACTATAAGGGAATTGGTTCTGGTTTTTACTCATTATTCTTCAAGTCAAATAGTAATTAGAGGAATGCTGGCTATGGGTCAGTGTTTGAACAGACCTCTGTCAAATAACTGTCTCATTGCTCAACATATTCTTCCAAGCAACACTAAAAGCCCTTCATCTGTTGTCATATAGCCAGGGACCCAGGTATAATGGTGATGGCAGCTCTTATGAGGGTCTTCAGTTAAAAGTTTTGCTCGAGATAGTCCCATAAAACAATCAGACCCAGTGAGCAGAGATTTTACTATAAAGAAAAATGAATATCTACAAAAAAAAAAAAAAAAAAAAAAAAAAAAAAAAAAAAGACCTGCTCATTCTGCCTGGTGCGTTCTCACTGTGCTTTGTTGAAACCATAAATAATTCATATACAAGTTCAGCATTTATAACTATTATCACAAAATATCTCTTGCATAATGTTATAACAAATATGGACAGCTTTGAAAACTCTCTGGAAGAATGCATTGTGCAATAGGGCATTTGACAAATATTATTTTCAAATATTGACTGGTAAATGCACGTTTTTATTTTTCGTTTGGTACTAATAAAAAGTAAGTATTATTTTTAACACTAGCGTTCTTTTGTTTACAGTTTACATTAATGATAAAAAAAAAGTAATTTTTCGCTTATAATGTAATTTTGTTAGTACGAAATTAATTCTGTTTAATCCTCTATTTTATTAGAACCACAGATGATGAAGGGAGGAGTCCAATCTAGTATCAGCTCCATTCCGCCAACATTCGTTGACTGCAGCAGCGCTTACGGGCTCTTTTATTTGTTGCAGTCCTTTAAATAATATTCAAGTCTCAGGGTACTCTCCCTTAAAGCCCGTATATTATGATACATATAAGATATTTTATTAATTATATATCTCTCATATAAGATCTTAATTAATTCACCAATAATAAATCTTCAATAATTTAACATTAATAATAAGCAAAGTTTATAAACTTATAATTGTTGAGAAATTCACAAGGAAGTCTTACTTTTTTCAGATATTTGGTATAATAAAAAAAATTCTCAATAATACTTCCCGGAAAAAACTAAAGAGATTAAGAGACCTTGGTTTAAGACCAAATGAAGGTTTTCATTCAGGCGAATATTAAGCAATATTTGTCAGCCTAAAATTAAAAAAAACTATTTTAATTTTTAAAATTTATTTGACAAATAATTTCTAACAGATGCGTAAATGTCTTTTATTATATTTCCTGTTGTTAACTACGTTTCTCCTGATGAAAGCTAAACCTGTTGCTAAATATATTTCTCATGATTGCTACATTTTTTGATGATGCAAAATGTTGAAAATTTTACTATGGTAATCAAGAAATTTTTAAGACAGTATATTGCATGTATAAATTAAAATTAAATGCATTGAACTAAAAATGATGAAAAATATATCTTATTATGATTAACTTATTCATTGAGATTTCTTCCAAGTTATTGCAAAATTCTAAGGTTCCAATAAACCTTTGTTGAGAAATAGTGATCTAGAAAAAGAGACAACATCACTTGACTTCCTATAAGGAGCAGTATCCCAAGAAGCTGAAAACATCGCTGAGTAGAGGTTGAAAATATCTAGAGGGCCCGTTCCTAGTCCTAAACCAGTAAGCGGACCCTGAGGAGCAAGAGGACAGTACGAAAATATATCAATAATATGGCTGACGAAATATAAAATAAACCCTTTAGCAATTACATGATTTTAAAAACATTAAACCCTTTCACCGTTGCAAATGCCAATCATGCCAGTCGAGGCTTTTTATATATTAATCTTAGTTGTAGTATGCATCAGTAGTAAAGGGATACCTAAACATTTCAACAGTAAATGTATATCTAAATATTTCAGCGTGTATTAAGTACCTACAGATCACATTCAGGGAAAATATAATACAATATAATACATTCATGTTCCTTAGCGCTACCCCCCCGCCAAAAAAAGTGAATACAAAATTTATTGAAAATTATACTGTAAACTAAGATGAAATATATGCGAAATGGGTGACAAATACTTAAAAATTGAAAATACGAAAACTCGACGATACAAACTGCTCCATAATTCCGAGCGACTTGATCCAAAGCACAGTATAACTAATCATTTCTTGTTCCGATCCGAAGCACATTTAACTGATGCTAACTACGATTAGCATTTGTTAGATATGTTTCGGATCTTCAGCAACAAAAAAGTTCTATATCAAATCCACATTATGATAGAACGAAAATGAAAAAATGAATTTCACTATTTCAGCTGTTTATGTAAACTTTCGAGCTTCTATTATTTTTACTTTTTCAGAAAATGGTATGAATAGTAAACAAAAAAGTTATCGTATTCACTCAATACCTAGAGCTATTAAGCTAAGTCAGGGGTCTTTAAATTATGTCCGCTCAGGAAATTATAACATATTAGTTTGGAAACCCTTACAGTTTTTAGAAATATAATTGGTAAATAATAAAAATTAAAAATTTATGAATAATGAATTTATATGAAAAATAGTAATAAAATACATCCTATTATTACTTGTTGTAGAGACATTAGGTTAATTGGAAAAGCCAGAGAGATGAAAAATTAGCAACGCATTCGCCGGGAATCGAACCATGGACCTGTGAAATACCGGCTCAGTGTGCTGACCGCTACACCCCGAAGGCACGCTAGGAAGGCGGGAGAAATACCTTACATTGTAAGAAGTTTATATAATATTATTTCGTAACAATATCAAGAGAAGTAAGAAAGCACTACATATTTAATTATTTTAGATGCTTAGCTTTGCGATCTGAGTAGCTTTTAAAAATTCTTTCGAATTTTTAATTTGACTGTGAAGCTGTAGAGACATTAGGTTATTTGCAAGCAGCAGACATGAAAAATAGCAATGCCCTTACCGGGTTTCGAAAGTCGACCTCTCGAATACGCGCCGAGTTTGCTAACCGTTACCCCACGAAGGAGGGAGAGAATATCTCATACACTTCCCCCTTTTAAAGGGCAACTGGGTATTAGGGGGCCCAGTCGCCAAATCCTGGTGGTTAATAATTATCATCCACCACTTTTTAGTTCGGGTGCCACTGTAGAGTCATTAGGTTATTTGCAAGCAGCAGCCATGAAAAATGAGCAATGCCCTCATCGGGACTCGGACCTCTCGAATACGCACAGAGTGTGCTAATCGTTACACCACTAAGGCATGCTGGAAGGAGGGAGAGAATTCCTCATAAAACCTTAAGAACTGCATTGGAACTTCAGGGGTTCCATAAAATATAGTTTGAAGACAACTGAATTTTGCAAAATATAGATGCCTGAGAAAAATGTAAACTACGTCTATTTTTTTCAGTTTAAGTTTTGCAATGAGCTTTACTTTATCTCTCCAGAGTCTTTACGTTAAATCCTTCCGCAATTTATTCCTGTGAAGTCCAAGAATGTTTTAGCTGATATTGAAATGAGTTAGGAATGAACAGATTTAAATCTTAAAGGGAAAAATACCAATTCTTCTAAATAGATTTCCGCTTAGCATATAAATAATGTAGAAGCTCAGTGCTGTCAGTTTTCTTTACAATTCATATCTGAAGCTGAAATATGTCTACCTGAATTAGAGCTATGAGGCCATGTTAGGCAGAATTGGTAGTCTGCCTTGTGATAATTTAGTTGATACTTTAATGAACAAGTTATCTTTTTAATTTGCATTTTTTAATCACTTCTGACTTAGTCATGTAGCTCGTTTCTTCCAATTATATAGATTATTTATACAGTTATATAGATTTTTCGGACGAACGTAGGGGTATAAATGGGTTAACTGTAATTGAGAAGTTGTTTGATGTCTGATCTTCTAGACTGTCTAAAGTTGACTGCTATCTGAATTTCAACCGAATATGGACCTAGGTGTTGTGGAGCAAGCTAGAATATTGAGACGCTGGAAAGCAGCAGGTGATGACTGAAAGCTTAGCAAATTAATATTAGACTTATGGATTCTCTTAGAGTAAACTGTTTTACTCTAAGTGAACTGTTTTCTAAAGTGGAATTTTAGCGTAGTCAAGTGGACTGTTTTCTGTATTTTTATGTCAATTCTCCAGTAGAAATTCATTCAAGATAAGTTTTTAGTTAAATGTTATTGAGTTCTTGTGTGCGTGAACCTAGAAATATCTCTTCCATCTCTATAACTCGGGAAAAGAAATCAGTGGTACCTAATAATTAGAACCTACAGAGTTATCTGTAGAGGTTACAATAAACCAGCAATCTCAAATCTAATAGAAAGGTGCAGTAACCTTAGCCAAAAGTCTTTATATTTCTTATAGCTTTGTAATGTTTTTTTATCATCATTATTCTTTCACTTGATGCCAAAAATTAGCAATGTTTTGAAATGCGCAGTTCAAGTATTACGAGGATAGCATTTCAGAAAGTTCATAATTCCAGAAAATTTTCAAATGAAATTGGAATTGGAAATGGAAAATGAAATTGGAAATGGAAAATGGAGAGAGCCAAACTCCGATTAAGGAAAAGTATAGGGACCTAAACATAGAGAATTCTTTGAGGTACCATTAACGATCACTTTCTTTGTTTTTTTTTACAGAACGATAAGGTTTGAGGGCAATTTAGTAAAACAAAGTCACAGAGTTTAGATTAGCAATGTTTAATATGTGCTGAATAATAAGTTAAGTATCAAAGTTTCTTTTATTAAATTAAACGTTCTTTTGAATCCTACCACGTAACTATCATGAAAGAAAACACACTATCGGGTTTTTAGATTTGATTATTATGTAGTATGCTATCACATTTTATACATTCATGTATATTAATTTTTAATGCTGATGAACGCTATCTTTAATTTCAAAACAAAAATGCAAACAAACGTAAGTATACATGTTAATAATAAATGCAGCAAGATTCCTTGAAGTAGATTCCGGACTTCTGTGATTATGGTCGCCTTAGAGAAGTGTTGTTCAGTACAAATGCTTATCTTTGTTCAAATATGCACTGATCCCTTTCAGAGGTGGTCATCAGTTTCAACTTTGTAATATTTCTCAAAGTCCTGAAATTATTTATGTTGCGCTTACATCGAAAGGTGAAATGGACTTCACTAGAGGAATGGAAATTAAGTACATGATTTAAAAGTTTATAAACTTACGAAATTACTCAATTATAATTACACGCTGATAATATTTCACCGTCAAAATTGCCTCAACACTTCTTCGAGGGCAATTTTTAGGGGAGAATCTTTGTTTCCATGAATTTTACATAATTATCCCGCGATTCTTCTTTTCTAGTGATTCGTTAATCTACCCGAAACACAGTCTCAAGCAACTTTTTTCATCTCCATCCTCATAAAATATTGGAAACCTGCCATTCAAAAGTTTGGGGGAAAGTATTGTTGATAAAAGTTGTCTATTGCGTTTCTCATCCATAGATGTGATATTACATCCGGATACCAAATCACCACTTCCAGTAAAGTTTATCGGGAACCGAATGTGTAAATTTTTGTATCTCAGTAGTAGCATACATGCCGTCAGAATGCCTTAGTTTCGAATCTAGTTTTATCAAATTACTCTTCAAAACAATCAGAAATTTTGCAGAATTTACTTTCAATCCCAGGTCGGAATCTGTGCCACTGATTCCTAACATCGACATCATCGCTTGCTCAATCATAGAGTTCAGCTCTGATTTCCGAGACAAGCTGGCAATCTCTTTCATACACTCTTCTTCAACTAGTGCCTGTTCTTTCTTAGAATTTCCTAGCTGGAGTTGTAGCATCTCGTTCTTCTGTCTCTCTTTTGCCATTTCTTCTTTCAAGCTGCTCGCATAGGCTTCATTCGCAGCCAACCTTGATTTTAATTCTTGCTGAAATTAAAAAAAGAATTTATTACTTTACGCATCAAGAAATAAGCTTCCCTTCTTTATTTGATGTGCTTCACACCATACAAAAATTAACATATATGGAAATAGAAGTATGCCAGTTTTAAATTAGAATTAGAAAAGTTAAACTTTACATTAGCTTTATTTTATAACAGAAAATTTATGCATTTCGATAACCCCTCCCTTTTTTTCCAAATGAAAAACGTATTCTGAATATTTTTGTCTTTGCTCCCTAATGAAAAATTCGATATCCGTCTTTCTTGAAATGCATATAGAAACTTTCTATGAAACCTCCGTCAATATGGGATAGAATTTTATATCGCAATTATATATTGAATTTTGCTCATTATAATATATTTAATCTTGCTATTGCTCATTATAATATATTTAATCTTGCTATTGAGTTCATACGAGCAAATTTATGAAATATACAGAGTGTTTTAAAAAAGTATAGACTCTACACTGTAGAGTCTTCCTGTTTTGGTAACACACACTAAGTCAAGACTCCTAAGTAGAAGAAAGCAAATTATCGCTATTTCTAGATAAGCAAATAGAAACCCATTAACGATGAAATAGACCCTTTTATTAAGAACTCAGTAAGTTGAACAGATGGCTCTCCCGGTACCTACAAACTTGCTAGCATTTATGGGGTGAACTCAAAAGTAGAATATTAAATTAAAACTAAATCTAAGTCTTATTTAGCCAAAGGGATTTAAACTCGCAAATTGGTTCTTAACCTACACCGGCGTGACAGTACTACCGTCACTAATAAAGCAAAGCCGTAGACAGAAATGGTGATCGTAGACTAACAGCTAGCAACATGGCCTTTAACAAGTGGAACTAGCTCTGATTAAAACAATCTCAAACTCTTATTTAAAGAAACGCGAGCTAAATTTACATTCTGGCAGGAAACCGGAAGGATAGGAGTGACAGTAATGATTGATAATATAAAATAGCTGTTTAATTAAATGCAATGCAAAAACTTGCCCGATTTAACATCTCCTGAATGGTGGATCATAGATACGAACGGCCTCTGTAACGTGGCATTTTATAAATAATGTATTAAAACATGCAACATTTAAATTTTCTGTGTCTGCAGAATGAAATAGTAATGAGAAAAGTGTTTCGCACAAAGTAATTAATAAATAAAAAATAAAAGGAAAGAAAGAAAGGAAAAGAAATTAGAACGACACAGAGAGAAGAGATATGCTCTCAAACAATGAAAATTGCCTTAGATAACATTGCAGATTTCTCTCTTTACGAAAGTAGAGCGTTTCTAGGAAATATTTCGAATTCGAAATGATATAAGATGTAAAAGCCTTTGCAATCAATTTATGCATGGGAAAATCTCTACCATAGATAATGATGCTTGTGGTTATTTCTAACAATAAAATTACTTGTGACTGCAGTTATGCTTGGCATAATACAGAAGTCGAACGCTTACGTAATATGAAAAGTTTGAAACATTACAGCACGTTTGGCTGCTTAGACTGATATATTTGTTTTTTACTGTGCATTTCTCGCAGACCACCAAGACATTTTGCAAAACCTCTTAAGTCAACAAAACTGGACTGAAAATAAGCACGTGCTTAGAGCATCAAGGAGAGGAAGGAGGCTTTACATAAAGATGCTTAGAGGTTTAAGGAAAGAGCGTACCACAAAAGTTTCCTAGTGCAAGTTTTATCATGGCATGTATGGTACAAGTAAACCTAGGTCCAGATAGAAAAACACGGAGAAAAAACAAGTCTCAGTATGTTGAAATTTTTTGCTTAGGGCCACTAAAAGTCTTAATCCATCTGTACCTAAACACTATATCATATTTAGTCATACTTATCTGTAATTATTTGCAGAAAACAAATGCTGAACCCTATTTTCGATATTTAACTTTGCTCGTAAAAATGACAATCATTTAATTATTTCGAAACTCTTTCGTTAACCAAAAAAAGCTGCTGACTGATGTCTTTGGTAAAAGAAAAAAAAGCGTCTTAAAACGAACGTTTGTAAATAGAAGGTTGGGGGGGGGTTATAGTCAAAGTTCTCGATAAGTAAATATTGTTATAGGCAACTATATATTTATAGTTTTGAAAGCAAGTTTCTGAATATGGTCGTGCAGGTATGGTCTGAATATGGTCTCGAAAATTACTTTTCATACCAGAAAAGCATAAATGTATTAAGAAAGTTTTTCTTTATTCTCATTTGTAAAAATTACTAAAATTCGAAAACATTTCTAGTAATGTAACTGAGCTCCTTAAGATCAATGTAAAAGTTCTATAATTAAGGCAGCTTTTCCTCTTCACGTTTATTTTTGCATATTGCGCAATTAGATCTTTAAATATATTTACGCTTATTTTGATAAAAAACGTTTTATCGATTGAAATTTTCTTTGAAGGAATCGTATGAAAGAATTTAAATTTTATATTTTTCCGTTAAATTCTGTGGTGTCATTAAAATTTTTTTAGACAAAACCTGATTTTATTTCATTTTTTCTTAAACTGGAACCATGGTTCTTCGGTTATGTCCCACTTCAGGCTTCCCCAAATGAAGGTTTTATTGAAAATTGTTCTATTTCATTCTTTTACTATGCGGTCAATAAAATAGGTTTCCTTTAACCTTTCCATCAGCAGTTCACATAAAATAAATAAATAAATAAATAAATAAAAATAAAAAAATTTAAAAAAAAGTTGGGGGGAGGGGACCTATTCCCTCCCCAAACTTCTCCCTATCAAATATAATGAATGAAGAAAATAGAAAGAAGTATTAAAATATGGCGATTTCTGATGTCCTTTTCCGAACATTTACAAAAGGAAAGGAAAAGCCTTTATGTGACACGATATTTGTTGCTACCTTTCAGAATACCTGAAGTGAGAAACATTGAAATTGGGCATCGTAGGTTCTTCGACCAACCATTCAAGAGATACTTTATTTTGCAACCTTTTTCATACGTCCTCTACAGACGATGGAGATCTTATTTTTAATTCTCTGATTAGGAGATTTTACCTACGCTCATGCAAAATTTACTGTGATCATAGAATTTTACCATGAAAATTGGTACAAAAGGCATATCAAATTATAGCAAATATTTTCCTTACCACGAATTCTTCTTGACTAGCTGGAACTTCATCTAAATCCTTGGACCATGCTTCTCCTTCTTCCAAGTACTGAATTCTGGATCTAAAATCAAACATCGGATTTAATATTTTTAGAATTAAAATTTTGCTTTTGCGCTGACAAAAATCTGTGTATGTTCGACCATCTGTCATTTACACTCCTTAAATATTAAGATTAGCTGTCATCTATGAAGCGATTGCTCAATGAAATCGTTAGGAAGTAGATTTGAACATTAGAATGACTGTATTCTGCAGAAAAAGGGCGCTATAATGAATGGTCACTATAAGGGAAGAGGATTTAATACGCTAGGTAATCCAACGTAAACAAGAAAAGTAAAACTTCAATGATTTGAAAACTATGGACAATATTTTTGTAATTATGAAAAGTTTTAATGCTAGAATAATTACATTTTTCGTCGATACGGGAGTGGCGATTATGGAGAATTGGACTTTCGTATAGAACTGTATGGAAGTCATTCAGGATAATCACCAAGAAGTATCCTTAGATAATATAAAACGTGTAAGAATTGAAACCAACCAATTTCGAGAGCCATCATGAATTTGAAAACTCGATGTTTCAGCAACTGGGAAACACTGCTGGCTGGTTTTCAAACACTGCAGACTGATCCTATGGGCTAACGACAAGTACTTTTCGTTATTTTCTTAGCGGAAATATAAATGCATATATTTGCCGCATCTGGTTGAAAAGGAACCCTCGTGCAATTAAAGAAACCTCTTCGTATCTGCCAAAGGGGACAGCATGATGTGGGGATTTAGAGTCATTGGTTTTTCTGATACTAGAGATGTGAAAAATGTGCAGTCCGCCCCGAGATTTGAACTCCGGATCTACCGAATATTCGTTGAGTGTGCTTCCAGTTACACTGCGAAGGCATTCCGAAAGGGGGGAGAAAAGACCATAGATAATCTCCCTTTTAAAGGGCGACTGGGGATGGGGAAAAACAGTCACCAAATTCTGTTAGTGATGAATTATCGTCCACTACCTTTTTTAGTTCGGATGCCCCTTGTAGATTATTTAGGTTATATCAGTTCTAGAAAGTGAAAAATGTGCATTGTCATCGCCGGGACTTAAACTCCGTACCTCCCGAATACGCGTTGAATATGCTTCCAGTTACACCGCGAAGACATGGGGAAAGGAAGGAGGAAATACCTTAGAGGTCCCCCTGAGTTATTCATTATAGGTTCCATTTTCATTCAGAAAGGCCACAGTGTATTTCAAACTCTTTTGGTCACAGGTGAGCATCATGCAGCCGTTTTAAGAAACAGCGTCATTCCCTTCTTGCAAAAGAGATAAGGTGTACTATTCATGCAGCATATTGCGCCTCTACATAGGTCCTTCCCAGCGCTTGCTGAGATCAACATTTGGCGATGATCATATACTTAGTCGCTCTTTCCGGCTGGAATAGCTATCAAAATCTCCTGACATTATACCTCATTATACCTTGCAAATTTGGGTTGTTTGAAATCAGAGATATAAAGCCATCATGAATTTGAAAATTAATCGTCGATTAATAATATTCGTTATCTTAAAAGACTAGTTTCGCCATTAAGTGACATGAATTACGGCTAAAGATTTTCAATTCTATGTCGTGCCACGTCTAAGGCCCGTATGTGCAGTGATAGTCTTGAATATTTGTAACCCTAACTGCGTCCGGAAGTGAAGCACAACCTCTCTCTGCCAATCGTAGATATTCTGGCAATAAAATACTTGGTCATCATGAAAACGTGTCATGTCTTTTTGTGCATTTCCGTTAAAATCAAATCGTTCTTCTACCTATACTCTTCAAATTATTGATTTTGCATTTTCTGCTACTTTTGTATCACCCAATATACTCTCATTAATTAAGAATTTTTGTAGCGGTCTTTGTCATGGGATGGTTATTGGAAGGAGTAGTCCATATAGCGAGTATCGATTGCAATTCAAAGCCCAAACTTGGCTGGTAATCATATTTAACTTCACTTGGCATTCTCTTTTCTTTTCTCGGCAAAAAAGTGCTATCAAGTGAGTTATGGTTTATACAGATCTCCTGAATAATCAGGTATGAAGAGAAAAGCTTGAGCTCTGAGTACTGTTTCAAGCAATCTACATATATAAAGAAGAAATTCTGTGTGTTTGTTTGTTCTTTAATAACTCAGTCACTACTTATAGCTATCGTCACCAGACGTTTTACAATTCTTTTCTGGATCCTGGAAAATGCTGACATCCACTTTTTCCAAAAAAAGTAGCTAAAATCAAAATATTAATTAAAAACTCTGAAAAACGATAATTTTCGCCCTCATTTTTCCGAGTGGCAACAGGCTCGCAAGCTGGAGATGAAAATTTGCGTTATTTCGAAAGTTGTTGCCACTGCTCTCTTTCAAATCCTAGAGTTTGTTAATAAAAAAATTCTAAGTTTTATAATGAAATAACTATACCATTGCCAAATATTAAATACATTAATCTCGATACCAAAAATTCGCGAAGCCATTTCGACTACTTCCATCTTTGTACGACTTTAATCAGCCGAAATATTAATTAAAAACTCTGAAAGCGCTAATTTTCGCGCTCATTTTCCCGATAGGCAGCAGTCTCACGCGTTAGAGATAAAAATACTTTATTTCGAAAAGTGTTGCTACTGCTCGCTTTCAAATCGTCAAGTTTGTTGATAAAAAACGTGTAGGTTTTAGAAAATCTGCACGTATAAAGAAAAATGTATGTTTGTGTGTTTGTTCGCATTATTGATTTCTGATCAATTATGATACATTTTTTGCCACATTTAATTAACTAAAATTGTATATAGGTGAAATATCGGATGGAACTTGAGCTTTTACGACCATTTGATTAGAAAGACGAAAATCATTAAAAACTGCGTGTCATTGTTACTTATATAATGGGAGATAATTAGTTTATTTTTCTATCGAAATATTTTATGTAGATTCCATTTGGCATCAGACTGAAAAATGTATGACTATGAATCGTATTTTTTGCATCTTTGTTAGAGAAGAATTACAGCAGTATTGTTCTCTTTGTTAGATGTAAGAAATTGTCGGGAAAAGAAGTGAACGAAATATGAAAATATTTTTATTATCAATTTTTCCCCTTATTTTCCTTTAGTTAGTTTCTGAAGAAACCATGGCGACCGTCAGTGCAAATGAATACATCTGCTACTGGCAGCAGTGTAGTTACAGCATGCAATGGCCTAGCTAGAACTTTTGCGTGCCGGGGCGACCCTGAGATTTCCTCTTGGATGACTCTGAACTTGCCACTCCTTTTAATATATAAGCAAGTAACTATTAAAAATGTCAAAACAACATGTAGGGAAATAAATTAAAACTCTGCGTTTATTTTTGAAAAAAAAATTTAATTCCAACATTTTAAAAAGTTATATTATTAGTTTGCTCGTTTGTTTTGTTCGCAAAACTTTCAGTGATATGGTAGAAGTCTATTTGATTGCTCCTATTGTCATGTATATAGTAAGGAAAGCTTTCTTGAATGGAATATACATATATATATGTAGTTTTCTGTATTTCTTAAAGAAGTTCTTCATACTTTTTAAATGATTTTTATTTTGAAAACGCATCTCACATGTAGTAACACCTTCAGCAATTAAGGGAAAGTTCACACTGGCATTACAGTATTTAGAACTTTGCTCTGGCGATTGTAATTCAGAATAAACTAAAAAAATTTCAAAGGATTCCGCGACCTTATGTCGATTTTCTTAGCAAAAAAGAAATAAAACTCTGGAATACTTCTTTCTTAACGAGGAAGACTTTCTTTCCTTATGAATGACACCGTGTTAATACTAGTTAATGTTCATAATTTACATTCAAAGTTTCTACGGAACAAAAAAAAAAAAAAAAAGTTTAAATACATGTAGTTGTTGAAATCAATAGGTGATTTCTTTAAATAATTTATCTAGAGCTAAAACTCTTTTCTTCATCTTCCATATGAAAATTTAAATCAAATTATTCTTCACCTGTCTCGGCCACACACCTGGCTAAACCCTATAAAAATATTTCATGCAAAAAATGCCGCCTGTAAAAATGCACCGCCCGGGAGGGGGGTCCACCCCCTCTAGCTACGCCTCTGACAGTATGGCTTTGTCTAATGGAGTACCTGAGTTTTTGAATGAGAGCAAGTGACGGGGAAAATATGAGGTTCGCTTCTCTCTCCTCTTCGCTCTCTCTCCTCCGGTGTTGTGTAGATGCAATTTCATGATCTTTCGCTTAATTTGTTGTAAGTGCCGCTAAAATTGCACAAGTGAATTTCAGTCTTACATCACAAGATTCGGCAGTCTACGGCGAACATAGTGTTGCAAAGGTTTCGTACACGTGATATATATATTTTTTTAACAAATATTGCAGTTTTTATTGTTCTCGTGAAATGCGGACCTAATTCCTTTTTGTTTGTGAAAGTGGTAAATTGAAGTGCCAAGGATCACAAATTTTTATCAAATTCTTACTGTGTAATAGTGTTACTATCCACAAAAATAATTGGACTTTTTGATTATTTCATACTCCCTGGATGGCTCCGAATACTGTTAGATGTAATTGTTTAATTAAGGAAGTGCATCTCATTTAAATAGTGACATAATCAGCTCAGTTAATACATGATTTTCCTAGATTACAAACTTGTTTGAAAGATTATCAGGCTGAAATCGTACAACAGGTTCTGACTTATTGTCCGACTTTTTTTGTGCGAGCTATGAAATTTTTGTAAACCCCTACGAATAGCTTCTAAAGATAGATCTTCCTGACCATATTACTAAGATCTCACATTCTGTTATTAGGTATCCTGATAATAATGCTGATTCCACCAAATTAAACGATATTCTGCGAATTTCTGCTAAACTTAAAAACCAACTAAATATCTCCAAAAATAGAAAACTTAATGCCCAAGAACATAAAGATATTTCTAGCCATTTAACAGCTCTTCGTAATATAGTGGCAGACCAGGAATTTACTCTAGCAAAGCAGGAAAGCACAATCTCGGAACTGAGAGAGCAACTGTCTTTCCAACATCATAGCATTACAATTAGTTCTAAAGTAAGGGAACAACAACAAAAT